ATCTACTGGCACTGGGCTTCAAAGCTATTTATTAACTAAAATAGGTCCCCCAGCAAACTTGATGTTTTGCAGACAAGTCACTTTCTTTTTATTAATGCGCTAACTGCTGACTGCATATAATTCCCCGTACCCGTCTTTCCTCGTTTTTATAATTAAATGCAACTAAGCATCATAAAGAACTTCTACAATACATCAGCTTGTATGCTCCACCAGACCACGTCAAGATCAGAACCTCATCGGGCATGTCCCACATTTACTTTTGCATATTTTTAAAAATGTGAACAAAAGAAAGACGTAGCCACGGCTGAATGGCAAGTCCTTTAAATATTACTAAATGACTATAAGTTAAGTATCTTACGCAGTGATAAGCCTGAGACGAAATTTCATTCAGCCGATGGGGAAATCCGCTGAATTCACTCGATGACTGGCAGGCTCTCTTTCTCAAAAGTCAACCCGACTTTTGAGAAAGAGAGCCATTGACTGTTCTGTTAATGGGTGGCTGCTGCTGATGCTGGCATAGCGTTGTTATACAAGCCAATTTCGAACTCTTTCCTCTCTCACAGAATTTTTTACGGCAGGGAACGACTTTGCCTTTTATTTTAACGTACAAAAAACAACCTCAAGCTGTTTTAGAGTACATGTCATTTTTTCACTGCTGTAACTGCGTTCGCGTAAAACATTTAGCTCCTGCTGCTGCCGCTTTTCGATAGTTCGTAGTAGCGACACCTGCCTCGTCAGCGATTCCACATCCGTTCTGCAATAAACTGTTTTATGCGATCAGAAAGTAGACGAAAAGCAACCATTTACGATCGATCATTATCAGTACAAAAAAACCAGAAAAATCAAAAAAAAAAAAGAAAACAAACTTATATTTTGCGACTTCGCCTTTCGTTTCCATCAGTTCGTCCATCAATTTTTTGCACCTATCACTGGCATTTTTATAATTACTTTCCATTTTTGCGTAGTTTTCACGCACCAAAGTGAATCCACTCGTGTCGGTTTTTAGCTAAAACACACAAACACAATTAACATTATACCAATTTAAAATAAATGGCAACGCGCACCAGGCTAGCCGGTGCGACCATGCGTTTTGTGCAGTTCATCCCATCGAACGATTGCCTGTTAATGATTTTCACTTCCTTGTACTTTAGTCTATGCAAAAAT